TAAGTAAATGAACGTATTCAATAAAATCGAAGTGTTCGAGCAGTAGTTAGCAATTAGCATGCAAGTACGTCATTATGGCGGACACGTAATGGCGCGGTTTATGGTCTCCTAACAACTGTCAGACGAATGGCGGGAAACGTAAATTAATATGGCGTCCCATTGTGACGTCTTCAGACACTTTTGTGTGTTTGTAATTACTTTATGTGTTGGGGATTGCTTATGAGGATTGTAAATGAAAATTGGCGACAAGTAATAATGGAATAAAATAAGTATTTGTTTATGTCTTATTATTATTGATAATAAAGTGTGTTGAGTTTATTAACGAACGAACGTAATGAATGATAACGAGCGTTTTGATTGGTCAACACCCTCGATAAATGTGTGCATTAAAAACGTCCTTAATTAGATATATGTATATATTTTGATATTCACTGTTATTCAGTTCAAGTTTACGTTCATATATAAAATAACTGTAGCTTAAATTTGTACGTTGTTAACGATTCTGATTACAGTTGTCCCGTCGCGTTTTGATGCAACAATTTAACATAGCTCCAATCCGGTGTAATTTCTATTAATGCGATTTAAATTGGTGACCGGCTACAATTTGACCTCTATCGCCCGCTATAAGGTCGGCTCGCGGTATCGCACGTGTTTTTTTTTAATTCCATGACACTCAATTGTTTATGGCTGGATATTAAAAGAGGTTATGTTAACCACAATTATAAAAAAAATAATCATATTAATTATGTTTGTTATCACATATTTAAAAATACAAATATTTATTATGTATTTAAAATATGTACAAAATAATAGTTTTTCATTGTTTTTGTTTGAATAATTACCAAATCAGAAAGACAAACAGAAGCATTATTTTTTACTAATGTAACGTGATGGGACAAAAAGTGAAAGGAGAACCAAATTACAGACATGCAACGCTTTAGAATCTTTAAAATTATTTTATTACACAATTCACAAGTCAGTTTGACAAAATGAAAAATCAAATGGAATTTACGTTCAGAAATACGTTCAAAAATATCAAGCTACGAAAATATTTAGCAATTTATACAGTAAATACGTTTTTATCTATGGTTTGTTTTTTTTTTCAGTTAAAAGCCGTGACATCGTCGTGTCGTCGAGATCAAGTGAAGTATTTAATCGATTAATTTTATGTCACGACTTGCGTTTCGTTGAACAGGTGTAAGATGGCTTCGTTTAAAAATGTTAGTGACTTAATTTTGTGCACTAATTGGTATATTAAATGTATTTTATTATTTTATATTTATCAAGATAAAAACAAAATTTGTTTATAAAGACTAAACTTAATTATAATTAAACAGTTTTCTAACTAGTTTCGCTTATTATCGATATCGATATTTTTAATTTTAATATTTAAATATCGATTAATAATACGAATAATCGTTCCGACAACGTTTGATCTGTTAAAATTATCTTGCATTAATATAGAGGTTAAATGTATCAAAATGAATTAAACAACCAGATCTTAAATATATCTGAAATGTCTGGCATTTGAGGTGTACACGTTTTTTGGCGGGAACGACTGACAAAGCGCGCCGACTCGAATGCTGAGGCACGCGCTTCGATGTTTTTTTTCTCAAGCCAATGATAAAAAGGTAACTCTTAATAATGTTTTCGTTCAGTTATTCGTAAAATGCGGATAAAAATTTTCAACCGTCAAAAGTAGAGCCATTTAAGTAAAATTAATTTTCTTCTTTCCTTTTAACGTGAGTGTTATAATTCTTTTAAGTCTTGCGAAAAAAATGACAACATTACTGACCACTAGAACACTAAGGGCCAAAATATAAAATGTAAGGCAAGTGTGTTTTACTTATTTTCACAGTAACTTTACAATTATTAAATACTGGCTGTTCCCGTGCGACTTCATCCGCATAAAATTACAAAAATTTAATTTTATTGTTTCCATATATCAAATTATCAATTGCCAATGTCAAAATGACATGACATGAAGACAGACCATGGCAACCTTGCTTCCTTGATGTTGGCAGCTTGTAGTTTATGGTCCCTTTCCCACATGAAGGTTTGTCCAGTTTATTCATCTCCCAAGTTTAATAACGTAAGAATAATTAGCCTAATGCGTGTCGAAAATGTAGGGATTTTTATTAAAGAAAGAATTTTTCAAAAATATGCTGTGATTGCTGACATCCTACGCCACAAAGTAGCGTGTGTTTACGCTTTATTATATGAGTATAGATTTACTCCTTAAGGTCGTATAAGTAACCTTTCTAATAAAACGTCTATCCAAAATTCGTGTAACCAAGGAATGATCATTACAACGACATGACTACAAATTATGGCTTCGTCTCACAACAATTCAATTAAAGTGTTACGTAGCTACAAAATAATTCCGCTTGAATTAGAGTAATTGCTTTTGTGATTAGACGATAGTGATGTACGATATCGATGTTGTAAACGATACGGATATACAGACTATAAATTAACACAATCGATAACATTCCAATAGTTAATTAAACTTCAACATAAAAATACTTCTAAACTAAAAGCTTTATTGAATTAACTTAGCATAGGATATTTTAACATGCGATCTTATAGTGATATAATAAAGCACTTTTACTGCAAATGAAAGTTGTTAATAAGACAATTTAAACACACAATTACAAAATATATTACATGTACTTAACTTTATGTTATTATAAAATATATTTTATGTAAGGTAGATTTTTTAAATTTGACGTTTAAAAAAACATCGATATTAACAAAAACAATATCGAATATTTTAGTACATCCCTATTGTCCGGCTTAACGAATGTAGGCCGCGTTCTCTCCCACGCCGCGTCGACACCTCGCTAATAGCGCGTCATTACACTATCTGTCGATACATCTCGACTCGGATCGGGACATCACTATCTACAATCGACTTTGACTATAATAAAATGGACTAGGCAAAGAGGCGCCGTTGTACTAACTAGAGTCTGCCACTTAAAAGCTACGCTTTATTTTACCCACACAAGAAAATAGGTTTAGAACTTATTGTTCGTTTTTCGACTGGTCCTGTCTCTTAAAAGTCAAAGCTGTCTACAATCGATGATCGCACGGACAAAGCCATTGTTTTATATCGCATCGATTTCAAACTAATTATCTTTTGAAATTTAAATACACTTGAAAGCTCATAATGCACCTTGTCAGTTCAATAACGTATTGAAATTAATATTTTGTGTTAATGTTTTGTAGACGATGGAATCGATAGATTAATATTATTGATTATTAATAGTTCCTAAACATTAGTAATAATAAAATATAGCCTATGTTACTCACAGATAAATTACCTTTCTGAAAGTGAATGAATTTTTAAAATCGGCCCTGTAGTTTTTGAGTTATTTCAATACATACAAAAAAAAATCTTTCCTCTTTATAATAATAGTATAAATATAGATTATACAACACTAATTTGTCATAAATTAAAATAAGAGTATTAAAATGTTAGCCACTTACAACAGTGCGTTTTTTTCTTTTTGTTTTTTAAAATAATTAGTTTATTAATGACAAAAATATGAAGTAACTCAAAAGAAAATTGCCAAAACTGATCACGCTTGACCCATTTACGTGAACTGGCCACTAAACTAGCTTATGGTATAAAATTGGTGTAATTCATAACACGCACAAATCTACAACCATTCAGGTTAATATAAAACCAGCTTTATCATCAAATAGTAAGGTTCATTCACAAAAAAGTATAAGAATCTTATAATTTTGCTCTTGACATAGATATCTTGAAGGAAACGATTTGCTACATTTTAAAGATGTCTCAGTACTTTATTACTGTTTTATATGGCTTTTGTAAACCTAGAATTCACTATCCTGACACTTCGATAGTCCCCACGTGTAGGTACTTTCCAGTTAATAGTTACGGACGGCCATATTCACAATACTTGTAAATTACTTTAAAAACAAACTGAACTCCAAGGCGATAACGTAAAGATATCGCTCCGTGGCGACGAATGGCGCTTCCTTCAGGTGGGATTGTGGTCAAGCGCTAGCATTTCAGCATCAGATTTTTTTTTATTAGCTTAACAATTAAATAAAAAAAAAGAATAGAAATATATTGAGCTTGTTGGCGACGGAAGGCCTGAGCTACACCTTTCCAAGAATTATAAAACTACCAGTACTAATCCTTCCGTTTCCTAATATTTTCCTAACAATATTGTTGTTTTAAATAAAGATAAGTACATATTAACAAATAACTTTAAGGAATACAGACTGTGTTAAAATAGTTAAAAAGCTAAGGGCCTGTCCCACCACATTATACATTTCTAATAACAATCCAACGTGTAAAGAATGTGATGGAAA